CCCCCTTTTTCTCAGCCTCTTCAGCCAGCCATCAACTCTTCGATCTTTGCCCCCCCACGACCCCTGAAAGCAACCTGCCCTCTTTATCTAATGTTGTAGCACAACTGTGAATGTGAACCCTAGATACAGAAAAAGAGAATTCCGTTTATGTGTGTGTGGGTGTGTGTGTTATTCAGTGTTAACATTTACTTAATATACTACAGAAAAATTAACAAAAAAAATCAGTAAATGTGTATTTAGATTCATTCTGGATTTTGGCGTATCAGCTGACTTGGAATGGTGGATATATGTTGGTTTCTTTGCGCATCTCCCAGACGAGGACTGTGTTGTTCAATGTGGACTGTGTTCGGTGTAACTTCACTGGCCAACTCCCACTCCTCTATCCCTGTTGTTCAGACTAATACTGTTTATTGTCATTAAAGACTTGGTTGTACCCATATATATCTGATGGCCATCCATTCTACCTGTCTACTTCAAGTTTTTTTGGACAAAAGCTCCTTATCAAAATGTACTTAAACACCACTTGCACTGCAAATCTGGGCTTATCACTAAAGACATTAAACAGTGTTTCGTTTCATTTTCACATTATCTTTTTTTAGGGATTGTATGAAACATGCAAAAATTGACATATGCATTTTAGACTATTTTAAATGACAGATTATACATATTTTCTTTATTTTAAGTGAAAAAGTGTATCATATATTTTTAGTTACATTAAATTATATGGTTGGATAAAAATGCAAGTAGACTAAAAAGTTTCCCACTTTGTACATACCTCTGAAGCTGTAACAAAAATTGAGTGGAAATGTTGCTCAGAGTGTGTGCTGTGTCGCCCTTTGCTGGTGTGGAGTGGTACTGAATCATGACGTGAAACAGGTGAATCTGGGAGGCACTCTGAAAGAGCTCCATTCCTTGTTTTGTCTCTACGTACGATGAGTCCAAGTTAAGGTGGAAACAAAGACACGAGGAAGTGTTTGTGATTGGCCTCAGTTGTTTTTGGGTGATTTGTGATAGAGCAGCAGTTGGTACATTTGTTCATGTGCTGCTAACGGGCTCACTGTAAAGCACTCGAGTATACGCTGGATGTTCTGTGTATTATTTCAAAAAGTGACTGTATCTTAATCCATTGTGGCATTAACAAAGTGTTGAAGGAAAAATAAAAATGGCACCTAAAAACAAGAAGAATGTGGATGAATATCAAAAATGAAGGATTCCTTTCTTTTGTTTTTTGTTACATGGATGGCATCACCCCCCCTCCCTCAACCCCACCTGCATGTGAGTCCAAATGAGATGCAATAAAAGACACATCTGTTGATCTCAGTGACCTCAGTTCATCACTTATGCCTGCTTTGGTTTCTATCAGCACTATTTATATTTAACAACAAAAAAAGTGTTTGTGATATGAACACTACCCAAAATAATGAAAAAGGAAACTAAAAAAATAAATGAAAGGTGGATATTCACAATTAACAATTGAAGCACATATTGTTAGAAAGAGGGGATTCATGAGTTTCACATGGTTGCTGGTAGGTAGCAGTGGCCTTGAAAATCTAAATGTGAAATTGCACAACAACAACAACAACAGAGGTTGTAGTGACTCTAGTCATGCTTGCAAAAGCAAGTGTAAGTTGTGCTATCATATTATTAGATTCATATAATGAATCTAATATGATTGTTAGCTATCTGTCGCAGGGGGACATATTGAGCACTTGTGAACATTGCATGTTTTGCATATGTATACATTCCAAAAATAATAATAAATCCCTTCTCACCCATCTGGGGTACTGCCTGGTGTGGTAGACCCCAGCCTCTATGGATCTTGTACTTAGAGCTTGTTCCTGTGCTGCCATGATTAGAGCCTCTTTGCTGTCTTTCACTTGATCTTTGTCCAGCCACTAGTAGGATTTCTGGATGTGAGCCACTTGCTCTATATGCTGGTACATACTGTGTCGGGTAACACACCTTATTTACTGCAGCGCTAGAGGCAGCTGTTTCACGGTGGCTGCAATGAGCATCCAGCGTTACCTTCAGGTGGTGCACTTTGAGAGGAGGTTACATGAAGTTGAAGCATGGCAGCTGCTGGTTCCACTGTGGCTGGTTTCAATGATCCTGTCCATCCCTGTTTTAGTGGTTCAAAACCTGGACGACGATCAGCACTGGATACGCTGCAAAGCTCACTACTCCTCTGAGGGCCAGAGGATTGCGGTGGTGTTCACAGGATTCCTGGTAGGATTTGTGGCATTTTTGTCATAGCTTTTTCATACATCAGTCTCTACAGAAAAGTGAATCGGGCAGCCTTTTTCAACAATCCACAGACCACGAGACTGATTATCAGCATTGTTGTGACTGTTTTTGTTCTACGTGTGCCATATTATGCCATGAATATTGTGGAGATAGCAGCTGTTTCCCTAAATAACAAGCCCCTGCTGAGGTTTTGTGAGGACAACTGGGGCACTTTTGCCTCTGTAGCATTTGTAAACAGTGCCGTGAATCCACTCCTTTACTTTTAACCCTCTCGAGGCAGGCGTTGCCCATTTGCAACAGTTGAAAACTAACAACCTGATTACCCCACATACATATTTTATGAGTTTTTTTTACTCAGAAGTACCACTGCAGGACTTGGTTGTGCATTAGCAACAAAAAGTTTAATTTGAGCCTGAGAGGGTTAATTGTTTTTTCACTCTTTGCCAAAAAATGCTAAATGTGTAATGGAAAAGATCTGAATTCCCCCAAATTGGACTAAGGCAGGGGTCAGCAACCTGGGAGCTGCAAATACTTTTTAACATCTGAAATGAAGATAACACTTTTTAATAAAGCAGGATTCTGAGATAAGATATTGTGGTGAACTCCTGCAGAGTGTGCCGGGGTTCTTCCTGTGGATGTCTCATTGATTCCTTGGAAACCCGCTTATCTTCCCGACTTGTTCCATCATTTGAGCTCAAAGCGACGGGAAAAAATGCAAGGGCAGGCTGTATGCAGGTACTCATCTACATCCCAATCTGGCATATAACAACTTTAAGTATGGGGTCATCTGCTGCTTTTGCAGTTAAACTGTGAACTTCAAGTTCATGTTAATTGGCCTTTTTAAGTGTGTCCTGTCATGAGCATGTTATTACCACACGCACAAGGCCAGAGCAGATCTAACCTGTTTTGTTTTGTTTTTTTAACACTTGTTGCTTTATTTTACAGCCAGCCTTACTGCTACATGCAACAATGGTTAATTCATTCCACAAGCTCGTCATGATCCACACCTAATTTAAATGGAAAATGTTCGCATTAGCATAACTGTTTCTCTGTTATTAGTTTCTCTTTCATCAAAGGAGAACAGCTTGCTCACCATATCATCATGACTTGTTCAGTGCATGACAGTCAGCAAGCTTGAAACATACCACAACTCGGCTCCACCATGGTTACTTATAACGACAACTCCTCTGCTGGAAATTCATCTCTAACCTCTTTGGACTCCAGAAGTCTGATTCCTGCAACAGTGCTGTCCATCTGCTTCTTGCTGGGATTCCTTGGAAACATTGCTGTGATGATTCTCAAGCCAAACTGGGAGAACATGTCCAGTCTGAGCCAGAGTTTAATGCTGAACCTGGCTGTGTCAGACCTGCTCTGCATGCTTACCATTCCAGTGTGGACATACTCGTATCTCAATAGTTGGACCTTTGGGGTTGAGGTCTGCAAGCTGGTAACATACCTTGGCTACTGCAGTGTTTATGGTAGCCTACTGACTGTGACTGCAATGAGCATCCAGCGTTACCTTCAGGTGGTGCACTTTGAGAGGAGGTTACATGAAGTTGAAGCATGGCAGCTGCTGGTTCCGCTCTGGCTGGTTTCAACGATCCTGTCCATCCCTGTTTTAGTGGTTCGAAACCTGGACGACGATCAGCACTGGATACGCTGCAAAGCTCACTACTCCTCTGAGGGCCAGAGGATTGCTATGGTGTTCACAGGATTCCTGACAGGATTTGTGGCATTTTTTGTCATAGCTTTTTCATACATCAGTCTCTACAGAAAGGTGAATCGGGCAGCCTTTTTCAACAATCCACAGACCAACAGACTGATTATCAGCATCGTTGTGACTGTATTGGCCCTGTGGGTGCCATGTCTTGTCATGAATATTGTGGAGATAGCAGCTGTTTCCCTACATAACAATCCCGTGATGAAGTTTTGTGAGGACACCTGGAATGCTTTTGCCTCTGTAACATTTGTAAATAGTGCCGTAAATCCGCTCATGTATGCCTTTACTTCTAATCATTTGTTCACTCTTTGCCAAAAAAGTGCTAAATATTTAATGGAGAAGTTCAGAATTCTCCAAAAGCTGCCTGAGTTATCAGATATCACTGCAGAAACTGCTCAGTGATGAAGGTGCTGTGGTACTCTGTGTTTGTCACAGCAAGCTGTAGGTATTTGGTGGTTTAATGATGACATCTTTTCTCACATCAGCTGTGTGCTGATTACAGCTGGTCCTCACCCAGAGCTGCAAAACAACATGTTTGTATAGAATGCAATGTTTGTTGACATGGAATCAGGTAAACATTCAAAACAAAGTACCCAGTATTAAGTGATATACGTATATTTTACCATAAATTATAGTCTAATCGCCATAGTTTTTAATCTTGTTTAAATCATCATTATGATCATCTTTAACTGTTATCATCCCCTATTGCATACCATACTTCAGACATCAAATGCATACAAGTAGATCTTAAATTTCCAAAACCAAATCAATTAGCTTTGCAGAATAAACCTAGCCAACCACCGACCCTGCCAATGCTGAAAGCAGCCTGTCCAAAAATCACGAGTTAACAAAGAAGGAATAAGTAGTATATTTCATAATACTAATAATGATGATAATATAGTTTATAGTTATAATTCACAAAGAAAATGTAAGTTAAAAGATGTTTAGTTATCTTTTCTTTCTTCACTTCTTTTTTACATTTACATATTATTACATTTATTAGTCTTTACAAATGCGCCATATTGTAGTGGTTGCACAATTGCCCAGAAAAAGATCCTGCGAGAAGGCGCAGTGCTCTTCTGTTGAGTTCTCCCATCTCATTAGGTCTATTATCTCCAGCTGTGCACCTGTTATCGTATCCCCTCCTTCTCATGTATTTATGTAATTTTTTATTATTATTATTAATTTTTTTACGGGGGCGTCCTTGCTGATTTCCCCATGTTCTGGAATTTTTTTTACTAATCAGCATAAATGATTGCTTTGAGTTTACTCCAGCCTCCTGTGTTTTTTCATCTGGGTCAACAATAAGCAGCTTCCAAGCAAAAACAAAACCAATAATAACAAAAAATCATTCCAACTTATTTTTCTCCTTCCTGTATAAAAAATAAAATCTTTTATTAAATAAAGATGTATTGTGTTGTTTAGAGAGAGATCTGACAAGGGTTTATCTCATGCTTTTGCAGTTCAAAATGTCAGTTGACAGGAATATAAATGTATCATTTGTGAACATATTTAGAGGAATATTTTCATTTTTTGTTATTTATAATTGAATGCTGCTTCATATAAGTAAATAAATAATACACACACACACACACACACTTGTTTTTATATCTTAGTGAGGACATCTAACAATAAAAAATGAATGCCTAACCCTAACCCTTAGGCACAACCTAACCACAACCTAATTGTAACTCTGATACTAAAACCACATCAGAGACGACCATTTTATCTGTTTTACTGTTGGTTCAAATCAGTATATGTAAAGCTGCTCAAAAGATGAAATGTTTTCTTGTATGTTTTTTTTTTTGTAAATGAAAACATGTACGACTCTACTTATCTTTTCTCTCATCACTTGTGAAATCTGTCACTGCCTTCCCTGTTCCAGCAAACTTTTGAACCAATTTGACCTACGGGCACATACAGGGTGCATGGATGTGTGTTGTCTTAGTCTCCAGTTATTCTTTTGTTTTGTCGTCCTTTGGAGCTTTGTGACATAACCCTGACTATGTGTATTTCCTGGTGATTTCTTGTTTTTTTCTGGGGTCTTTTGGATTCTCTTCCGGAATTCTCTGTGTTTGTGGAGCTCTGAACTAATACTCACTTAATGAGTGTACTCCTCCCTACAGTTATTTGCATTCGGGTCCATGATAAACAGCTCACACAGGTTACATACAAAAAAGGGTCATGCAAATACCCATGATAAGAAAAAATGCAAAAACCAAAGAGCTCTTGGATGCAAAGAAAACCAACACATTCAAAACAATAAAGCTTTTGTTAAAATAAGAGTTCAAAGAGAGGAACATGGGTATGGGTTTACCTTGCACTTTTGCAGTTAAATATCAGGCAAGAGTCAGCAGTTTCAGCAGTTTCTGCTCCAGAGATTTTGATCTTTTTTGATGATCGGACCATGTTTTGTTAGTCTGAGTCAACCTTTCTCTCATTACAGGGTAACATGATGGTAAACTGATCAAATTACTAAAAGCAAATGTAAAAAAAAACAGACCCCACACAAGAAGGTCAATATCCAATTATATGACATAAACTTCAATGTGTGAAAAATAGTGTTCAACATTTTAGGTGTAATCAAAGTGTGTTCTTTTTCTCAGTAGTTCAACATGGAGACCTACGATTTGGTTCATGTGGGATACCTCTGAGCTCCATGTATGTTTGCATTGCAGGTCACATTATTAGTAGAGCTCTTTGTGTGAGTAAGGGGATGTGGGTAAATCCTTGGATTTTGTTTTTTTCTAACTCAAGTCCAAGTTACACAAACAAACACAAACAACGAACTATATCCTGTTCAGATAGGACTTGTTGGTGGAGACCGCAGAGCCAAGCAACAACCTTGAAATGTAGTTCAACAGCACAAAAACTTTAGGCTTTAGGGTAATATGTCAGAATTGAAAAAAAGGCTGAAGATCTGACGATATTCCAGAGTTACAAAGCTAAAAAAAAAAGGACAAGAAACTGTATCCTTTTCAGATAGTCCAAGACAGAAGATATGTTTGCTTTTATTTTCCACTCCATCTCAAACTAAAAGAAATTTTCCATTTCACCAAAGACATACAAATGTGCTACTAAATGCAAAAATCAAAAAGGAAAATCCAAAAGATTCCTACTAGCAAAATAAATGAATAAAAAGATTCAAACCTCCCAGTTATTCGTGTCCATATTTCCTTTTGTGGAAAGAGTTATGCAAAATTCTGAAAACATGGTGGCAGGTGTCTTTGGGATTTTGCATAGCTCACAGTTTCCTTGTTATCAGTTCCTCTTTGACTACATCAAAAACAGCAACTTGTTTACCTGACTGCACATTTATCGTCATCATCACTTGCTCAGTACACACCCGAGCAAGCAAGCTTGCAGCATGGCACAACTCAACTCCACCAATATTACCTATAACATCTCCTCCTGTCCTGGATATTCACCTAGTTTCTTCTTGGAACCCAGGAGTCTACTTCCTGTGGTGGTGCTGTCCACCTGCTTTCTGCTGGGATTCCCTGGAAACATCGCTGTCATCATTCTCAAGCCAAACTGGGAGAACATGTCCAATCTGACCCAGAGTTTGATGCTGAACCTGGCTGTGTCAGACCTGCTGTGCTTGGCTACCCTCCCAATATGGATTTACTACTTTGTCTGTAGCTGGACCCTGGGCCTGGCGGGCTGCAAGCTCATGTCATACCTCATGTACTGCAGCGTTTATGGCAGCCTGCTGACTGTGACTATGATGAGTATCCAGCGTTACCTTCAGGTCGTTCACCTGCAAAGGAGTTTACCTCAGGTAGGAGCAAGCTTGCTGCTGGTTCCGCTCTGGCTGTCTGCAATGATCCTGTCCGTTCCTGCTTTAGTGGTTCGACAGCTGGTAGAACAACCACATTGGTTTTATTGCAAACATCAATACTTCTCAGAGGGCCAGTCAATAGCTGTGTTGTTGACAGAGATACTGGTTGGTTTTGTTTTATTTTCTATCATTGTTTTTTCATACATCAGTCTCTACAGAGAGGTGAATCGGACAGCTTTCTTCAACAATCAACAGACCACGAGACTGATTACCAGCATCATTGTGACCTTTTTTGGCCTATGGGTGCCATATTTAGCCATAAATGTGCTAGCAGTGGCAGCTATTTCCCTAAAAAATGAGAGCCTGCTGAAGTTTTGTGAAGACACCTGGAACGCTGTTGGAACACTAACATTTCTAAGTAGTACCATGAATCCACTCCTGTACACATTTACTTCTATTCATTTGTCCACTCTGGGCCAAAGAATTGGTAACCAGTTAAGAAGGACGTTCAGAAATCGCTCTTGGTCAAGAAATGTCACTGCAGGAGCAGCACCTCATTGATATAAGCTCCCTGAGAAATGATTTTTACTCTGCTGATACAAACAGTGTGTGGTCATCTCTATTTGTCACAGCAAGCTGTTGCGGATAATGGACTTACTCGTTGAGCTGGTTCTCAACCAGAGAATTCAAACAGCATTCAAAAAAATCAAAGTACCTATTAAATGACCTCTAATTACATATAATTTTTCCTTAACTTATATCATACTCTCCAAAATATTTTTTCACCTGCTATGAAGGCTATGAGGCCCATTAACTGACTCTTATCGACTGTCATCACTCTTATGATCATACTTCAGATTGGGCTTTAGATTAGTTGTTAGCCAGAGGACCTGTGTAGCATGTCTCCAGCTACATGAATTCCTTAATCTTAACTAAGCAAACTACATCCAGCTACTCCAAAGAAGCCTGCTGAGACAACTAAGCCACTCAGGGCTGCTACTACTATTGGTTTGTGAATTGATGCTGAAATATCAATCATAATACCAGATATTTATGTTCTAGAAATAATCTAGCTCTTATCTAGAAGTTCCCATAGTAAATTGGGGAAAATTTGTAGTTTATGATTAACAGGAACATAATGGAAAGCATCTATATTATCTGCATTGTCTAAATGATTGGTAGGAACTACTTCTTTTTCCGCCTCTCATAATGATATCCTAATTTCGACTGTCTAAATGCATCACTGCTCATGTGTGCTCACTCAAAATGTGGAGCTGCTGGCAATATGTAGCACTGTAGCTGAATTTTGGAAAGTGACTTGCATCTGGGTTTAGGTTTTTGCCTCACTACAGCCTGTACATACTTATAGTTATAGCATATTCATAACATACTTCATACCGTGTACATTATAACATATCATAATAGACCCATTTCTGTAATATACTCACATATCTATATTATTGCTAATATATATTTGTAATATATCTATATCATGGCTAAAGCACTTCTGGATGGATGCAAACTGCATTTCGTTGCCTTGTGCCTGTGACATGTGCAATGACAATAAAGTTTAATTCTATTCTATTGTATCTGTGTTTAAATGAGTGAATTCCTGTTAAGAGATATACTCTAAAACACTTCTTCAGTAGAGAATCAGAGAAGAGAAACACAGAACTTCTTGCTAGCAAGGGCAGCCTCCAGAACTGAGACTCGCACTGAGGACTGCCCTGGTCTTTATTTATATACTTCAGTGAGCG